AAATCAAAATATATTGAAAACTCAACCTGGTGAGAGTAGTTTACGCGAGCCAACACAATAAGCATAACACATTTGATAGCATGATGGAAGAACTCATACATAACAACAGACATTTGAAAAATTCCATATATATCCAAAATATTTCCAAGATAAAAGTAATGTGGGGAAAAAAACACAGAAGGTCAAAATGAAAAATAGAATATAAGCAAATATAAAGGGAATTCATCCAGAACTGAGCACAATCTAAATGATTTGCTTTTGGAAACTAAAAGAAATGCTGAAAAAAGAGAGGCAGTTTACCACTGATGCGTGTGCTCGGAATTTTGACACCACAGACGCATCTACCAAATCCCAGAAGAAAATTGTGCCATCCTCAGATCCACTGGTAACATGAGCATCGGTGTTGGTAAGGCAGCAATCCATTTTGAATGACTATTATGAAGAAAAAAGGAAAAAGAAAAAGATGGAAGTTATGGCAATGCATGAATGAGGGGGAGTCAAGACCTCAAAACTCTGGAAATTTACGATGGAGATATTCAATACAGAACAGGTAGGAGATAGTCTAACAGTTAAAGAAAAGCAGGAATTAATCAATTGAAATTTAAGCAAAGGAATTGACTAAGATTGCAAATAAAAACTGTCATGGCCAGATAACTGCCACTTAGAAAGGATTGCATCAATGGAAATTACAGAGTCCATATAAGGCATCTGCATGCTAACCTTACAAGTGTGTCCTTTGTATTCTTGCAATAGTTCACCTGTAGACCTGGCATGCGAAAGACCCAAGATAAGGGTTAGCAAAAGCCAGAAAAATAACCTGCAGCAAGAATCCACACAAGTACATGACAATACCGGTCCAAGAGGCGCAGAGTAGAATCTAAGCAACTAGCCAATATACAGTTGCCATCATTTGACATTGAGATACAATTGACAGGTTGCCCTAAGTCATCAGATGTTTCTCTACACATACAAAGAAGAAAACATCATTAGCGAAAGTTTCCAAAATGATTACAGTCAGAACACAGATATTCATTTACATTACAGGGGAAAAGGCACCAAATATCTTTTGGCTACATACCTACCCAAACGAATGTCAAAGGTTCGGACAGTTCCATCAACACTCCCACCAATAATTTCAGTCTTGGTCAAACATACAGACATAACAGTGTCCAAAAATGTATCGATTATCTGTATACCATGAAGAACTTTAGAAACGGTAAATTGATAGTTCAGACTAAAAGGAATCCATTTAACACGATAAAATTTCTGAAATGATAAAGGGTTCAACCTGGATAGGCTCGGTGCTATGAGACCTGCAGTCCCAAGCACGTAATGAACGATCATAGCCAGCAGATACAACCACAGAAGCATACTCGTTAAACTTAACAGCATTAACCT